TTATTATTAAAATTAAAATTCCCACTCAACGGAAAGTGTTCACCCATCGTACAATTGCACCCGCCTACAACACCAAAAAGGCTCTGCCATGATCAATGAACAAGCTCAAATCCACCGCCGCTCTCCGCCCCCCACCGCTCCCGGCGGCGGCCTCCACCACCACCAAATCGCTCAACGCCGCCATCAGCCGCCTCTCCCGCCAGGGCTCCCACCGCGACGCCCTCTTCACCTTCGCCTTCATGCTCAAAACCCCAACCGCCCCGCCGGACGCCTCCACCTACCCTTCCATCCTCAAGGCCTGCGCCTCCCTCGGCCTCCGCCGGCTCGGCCCATCCCTCCACCAGCGGGTCGTCTCATCCGGGTTCTCATCAGACCCGTACACCTCCTCCTCCTTAATCAACCTGTATGCAAAATTCAACGACGCCGAGAACGCCCGCAAAGTGTTCGACATGATGCCTCAAAGAAACATCGTTCCGTGGACGGCAATCATCTGGTGCTACTCGCACGCGGGTGACATGGCGAGCGCGTTCTCGATGTACAACCGTATGCAGCGCGAGGGTATTGTACCCAGCTCGGTCACAATTCTGAATATGCTCACTGGGGCTTCTGATAAGGTGCACGTCGAGATTTTACACACGTGTGTGATTAAAATGGGTTGCGGGTCCGAAATAGTTCTGATGAACTGTTTGTTGTCTGTATATGCAAAGTGCGGGCATGTCGAAAATGCTCGGGAACTGTTCGAGTCGTTGGGGGAGAAGGATATCGTGTCGTGGAATAGCTTGATTAATGCGTATTCCGTGGAAGCAAATCTTGATGAGGTTTTACAACTCTTCTGCAGAATGCGGGCTGAAAATGTAAGGCCCGATGTGCAGACTTTCGGGTCTCTGGCCTCTGCTGTTGCCAGGCTGGGAAGTTTTGATGTGGGCCGAGCTGTGCATGGCCAGATAGTGGTTTCCGGACTAGAATCTGATAAACACGTGGCAACATCACTCTTCGGCTTTTATTCTAGATGCAGAGAGGTGAATGCTGCATTAGAAATATTCGAACAGGCAGTCGATAAAGATGTAATCTTTTGTACGGCCGTGATTTCCGGGCTCGTGCAGAATGACTCGGCTGACCGAGCTTTGAGTTTTTTCAAGAAAATGCTCGATTCGAGAGTGTGCCCTTCGGCTGCAACTATGGCTTGTGTTGTTGCAGGTTGTGCTCAAATGGGTTCCATCAAACTAGGTACGTCTGTACACTGTTACATACTGAGGCAACAATTTCCTGCCGATATTCCTTTGCAGAATTCTCTTATCAGCTTTTACTCGAAATGTGGGCTTTTGGGAGAGAGTTTTACAGTTTTCAGAATGATGGAGAGAAGAGATGTTGTGTCGTGGAACTCGATTATCGCTGGCTACTCGCAAAACGGGCATTTGAAAAAGGCGTTATCTTTATTTCAAGAAATGAGATATTGGGCCCACCAGAAGCCCGATTCGATAACCTTCGTCTCTCTTCTCCAGGCCTGCGCTTCGATCGGGGCATACCATCAAGGGAAATGGATCCATAACTTCATCCTCCGAAGCAATATACGCCCTTGTATCAAAACGGGCTCAGCATTAATCGACATGTATGCCAAATGTGGCGACTTAAACTCAGCAAGAAAGTGCTTCGACCGATTGCCACATCAGGACGCGGTTGCTTGGAGCACGATTATCGCGGGCTACGGCTCGCACGGGAGAGGTGAAATTGCATTACAAATGTACTCGGAATATGCGAAAAAGGGCTTCAAACCGAACGATGTGATTTTCTTGGCCGTTTTATACGCGTGCAGCCATAACGGGCTCGTGGATAAAGGTGTTGACTTTTTCGAGTCAATTGTCAACGATCATAAGTTCGAACCAAAAATCGAGCACCTCGCGTGTATGGTAGATCTTCTCTGCCGTGGCCGGAGGGTTGAGGAGGCGTACGCTTTTTACCGGAGGATGTTTTCCGAGCCAGTTGTGGAAGTTTTAGGGATAATGCTCGATGCTTGCCGGAAAACGGGCCAAGAAGAGCTTGGGCGATCGATTGCCGGTGAGATTTCTGGGCTCAGGCCAGGGGATGCAGGGAATTACGTCCAGCTGGCGCACAGTTTTGCTTCAATGGAAAAGTGGGAAAGTGTGGGGGAGACGTGGATGAAGATGCGGGCACTCGGGCTCCGGAAGTTTCCGGGCTGGAGCTTTGTGGAGATGCACGGTGAGATTATCCCGTTCTTTACGGGCCAGGGTTCGAATCCTCTGTACGGAGATGTAGCAAGCGTGTTGAGGGATCTAACGGACGATTGTAAGAGATTGGGATTCGATTCGGAAGATGAAGATTTTTGTTGCCTTGATTGATTCCTATGTGTTATGAACATAACATAGGTTTTTTATTTTTTATTTTTTTAACTTCATTGATGATTGTATTGAGGTTTTAAAATGGCGCCATAAAAGGTTGGAAAAGTTGCTTGTCATACTTATGAGGAAGCTCAATAATATAACTGATATTTAAAAACTTTCCCAACATTTTATCATTGTTAGTCAGACTTATTAGAATATAATATCACTTGAGAGGTGTCTCGTTTATACAAGGAAAATAAGTCTAACTTATAAGTCTAGTGAGCTACTCTTCTCATCGACCAATTTGTTTTGGGATAGAACTTCACGTGGACTTCATCTGGGTTTTTCCTCGTTAATACAGGGAAAATAGGCTTAACTTATAAGTCTAATGAGCTACTCCTCCCATGGACCAATTTGTTTTAGGATAGAACATCACGTAGGGTTCATCTTGGTTTTTCCTGTTATAGTGTGTTTCATCCTCGTGGAACCGTACTCGATTTACCCCTAATTCTTACATGGTATCCCCGCCTCCGTTTTACCTCGGATTCTTATATGGTATTCCACATTGTCTATACAGGAAAATAAACCTAACTTATAAATATAGTGAGCTGCTTCTCCCATCAACCAACTAATCTAGGGGTAGAACTTCACTTAAACTTCATCTGGATTTTTCTTGTTATGGTGTGTTTCATCTACGTTGTCAGTTAGCAATTATTGACCTTCTTTTTTATTCTTTTTTGTCAACAAGCTTCCTCTTTTATTCAAATAGTAGAAAAATCAGAGGAAGTGTTGACATTGAATTACCATA